CAAAGAGATACACCGTCAAAAGTGAAAATTGACGTTTGTCTTAATAATGAGTAATTGCTCCACCAATCCCCAAACATTCAGCAATTCTGCGTGGCATGCTCCTAATCAACCGTCCAATCACGATTTGGGGCAATCTGGCCCACTCCTCTTGCAGTGCCACGGCCAATTCTTGCAGTGTTGTCGGTTGACGTTGATGTCGACTAACACGTCTCCCGATCAAATTAAACGTAACACACTAAAGCAAAGATACACTACTGTCTGATTCATCGTAAATTTTAAACGGATTTCTTCGATTATGAACCAACTACTTAACGTTGGTTATTATAAACTTACCTGTGTGTTTGTAATGAACTCCCGTTCGATAAAATCCATTGCACAACTAATTATCACAACGATGAAAACAAGTTCTCTCTTGAAAAATTGAAATATCACAAACTTTTCCCAGAGAAAAATACCAATATGGAAGATGGTTACGTCACTCTGCGGAAGATATCATTTCGTATTAGGGGTGACAGCATAGAAAATTCAAGTACAATTACGACAAGAATCCATGACCACTCGGACCAAAGACCACTCGGTTCAAGACCAGTCGGACCAACTGATAGACCACTCAGCCCAAACAAATAGACTACTCGGACCATACAAAAAGACTATTCGGACCCAACAGAAAGACGACTCGGACCAATAATAAAATGTTGTTTTAATAAATTGATAATTGCGTTTGTTTTAATATAATTACTCGAACCAATAATAAAGTGTTATTTTAATAAATTGATAATTGTGTTTATTTTAATATGACTACTCGAACCAATAATAAAGTGTTATTTGAATAAATTGATAATTGTGTGTGTTTTAATATGACTACTCGAACTAATAATAACGTGTTGTTTGAATAAATTGATAATTGTATTCCAAATCGCAAAATATCGAGAACCACACTTGTAGTCACGTTTAAAAAGGGGCATATAAACGTCCGGTCTTCGTATTATTATGTGCTGTTTATATTAACGCATCAAGGGCGGATAACTTGAAAACGTGTCTCCACCCCCCCCCCCCCATATATAGTAACCCAGGGGTTAGTGGGGTAGAACGGAATGAAACCACTGGGGATACCGCGAATGTGGAAAAAGTAAAATTAGGCTATCAGACAAGAACAGTATACCCGTATATGTAGAAACTGTCAAAAGTCTGGACATACCGAGTCTCATTGCAAGAGTAAAGAAAAATTAGATTGATATTTTTTTTTGGCACCATTATTAATTAATTTTAAAACTAATCGTTGATTTATTTTCCGTACACAAAATTGAACCAAACAACTCTAAATATAAGAATTCCGTATAAGAATTATTTGCTTCTTTGTATTGTGATTTAATAATAAATAAATAGCATATTGTCTAGCCTTATAATATAATTTAATTGGTCCGACTGGTCTTGTTTTGGTCCGACTGGTCTTAGTCCGAGTAGTCTTTGGTCCGAGTGGTCTGGATACCTACGACAATTGGCATTGAGTTTGAGCGTTCGCACACATAACTACCCGCATTCCTGTATTTAGTTACCGTCTTTTACATTCTAGTAAAATCTCTGCAAATTTTATAGCTTTACTTTTTGAAATATTTTGTTCTAATTATTTGATTAGCGACTCGGATGGGATTATTTACTTTTGAACACGCATGCCGCACAAACACAACTATACATTCGTTTTACGGGCTTTATCACACTTCGGTCAAAACTGTCGAATCGAGAATTAATGTTCCGCTTCTTACGGGGTCATACGGGCTTAGTAGCATTATATACCCACCCGGGCACCCAATACGGCAATAGACACGCTGAGGGCTGCCGCAACACGCTTAAAGATGTTACTGAAGCGGTTATTATTCGATCGAAAGAATGCGTATAAAATTAAAAATACACTCAGAGAATTCGGAGGTAAGCTTCATGATCCTTGTTAAATTATTTATAACATAAAGAAGATAGGATATTTATAGTTTATTCATGACTTTATTTTTACGAGTATCCGTGCAATCAGTGATATTTTAATTGTGAAGAAAATTTGATAGACTGGCGATCAATGGTTTCCATATAAATCTCCTATGTAATTGCCTTCAATTGATATTTTTCGTCGCCCAAACCCATATACGATCAAAATGATCGCGCTGTCAAACTATCTTTCAATGTTAACCAACCCCCGCAACAGGTATATTGGATTCGACCATTACGTCACGAAGACATTGTTGACATCGACTCTGTCGAAATTACAAGTAAATTTTCAAATTTTTCAAGAGAGAAATTGTTTTCATCGTTGTGATAATTAGTTGTGCAATGGATTTTATCGAACGGGAGTTCATTACAAACACACAGGTAAGTTTATAATAACCAAAGTTAAGTAGTTTGTTCATATTCGAAGAAATCCGTTTAAAATTTACGATGAATCAGACAGTAAGCAGTAAATCTTATGCAAGATCCGATAGGAAAGCAAACATGAATAGAGAAACCAGCACGCGGCAGTTTTCATCAACCCGTCCTTGAAGTGTCAAATTTGACAATGAACTCCTCCCACGTGTATGGCCCTATTGCATGTCGCATGTGCAGCTCAGTGGTTCTGTTGGAGCGATAAGTTCTTCATCTGTGAACATACTCCCAAAGCATGTCAAGTGTCCATGACTATTTATCATATCACAACCTGCATAGGTATTTGCATTTCAATATCCCCTACTTTTTTTTGAAGAGTATATAAACGTTTACAGTACGGTACCACGAAGTTCTACTTTTACTTACCGATATTTTGAAGACTTCCAGTGGAAGCGATTCATCAGAGTTCTACAGAATAAGGTTTTGCGGAATGGTTTTATATGTTGACTTGCGGCTGGCATGCTGAAGTTACTAAAAATCCTATATAATACTACCATTAATAACTTTACACTGTAGAACGAACATCAAATAACCTTTAAGTATGGTTTAATGGTCGAGAGCTCGAGACCATTAAACAACTTAAAATACAGACACTCCGCACGTGCTTTTACAGTGAAATACGTCACGCGAGTCCAATATTTCACTAGTATAAATAATGTACGATTGGCAAGTTGCCCGTACGATTATTTGAAATAATGGTACGTTAACATTAAAGGGTGACGTCACATCTGTATTTTAAACATATTGACTGACCACTGTGAAACATTTTATATAATGGACTAACCCAGAAAAGCTTATCAGTTGAGTTTCTTGGTGGTGCCCATTAGAGATACAGGGGTAACAGGATACGTTGGTTTATCCTTGAAATAATATCTTGTTTGTCTTTAATTCCCTGTTGATTATTCACTACTCAGTATACCTTCTGATGTGTATTAACAGTATACAAATACGTGTGTATTATATACCCTAATCATATCAAATATGTCGCATGTATATATTACAACTTTTTTATATACGTTATACATACTTTCTTAATCTTTACATCATCCACTTTTTGTGTATTTTTTATCCCTAATATTTCATGTAATGTGCAATACATGCTACCCATAAATAGTGCATTAAGTAACAACTCATCTATATATCTGTGTACTACATACATGCCTCAACGGAAGATTATATTTTAATCAACGGTTATGGTGACTTTTGAAAGGGAACGGGGATATACACTTGCAATGTATCCATCCATATTCTTCATTTATTTACATAGGGTTCTGGTAAAACATGTACAAATTTTCCCAACTTGGAGTTTTTTATACGTCCACATATTGTATTATGTCGTCGCCCATGTCCGTCCGTTCATATTTTTTGGGGGGAAACGTTTTAGAGGTCACAGCTATCATCCGATATTTTTTTTGGTGAAATTTAATATATTTTTTATATCCCAAAGATCTCGGATGGTTTCGATTTTTGCACATATCGGATCGTAACTTCTGTATAATTTCCCCTGATATTACATACGTATCTTGTGGGTCCTGAAGATCGCGAGGTTACAAGTTTTAGTTGAATTTGATGCAACTTAAAATATAATATTCAATGCACAAACACCTACCACGAGTTCGATTTTGATATAAATCGGACCACACAATTAACCGTTAAAATTGTTCCTCCGCGCAGGTAGTTGCAAAGCATGTAATACATATATCAATGTTGTGGACCATCTAGAGGTCACAATATTATTGTCCAATTTAGATGAAGCATAAATATATGTCCAGGATTAAAAGGCCTTTGATTAGATTGCTTTATGGTCCCTGCCGTTACACAAAATTGGAGTTGTCGAACAGCATACCAATTGATTGCCCACTTTCCTTTTTATGGCCCATATTATAATGATAAGATATATAAGAAATGAAATGGAGTTAAACCTACTTTTCTGAACCGACTGTATGGGCTAATGAAGACTGACGTACGGCTACAATATGCTATAAGGGACATTTTGCCTAGGACACCGTGGTGCTACGGACTACTTTTGTATCGAATTCCAGCTACCAAGGGTTCTTTTACATGCACACCAATGTCTACACATGACCTCGGGTTGCGTCCCATCGAAATACTTGTCGTATTTGAAAGCGCAAGTATGGCTTTTATTCACAGCTCACACATGGTTCCATTTTTTTAGGTCAACTTTTAATATTAATTTTACGACCATGTATATTTTCATCCCAATTGTCGAAAATGTTGATCACCGACGTGGACATTGTCGCCACTGGTTATTATAATCCGAGTGTGGGTCGATAGGCAGATAATCCGAGTGTGGGTTGATAGGCAGATATTTTCTTTGGGAAGATATATCTGAAGAAATAAACTACACCGATTTAACATACATAAAAATTTTAATAAGAAAGCAAAATTATCTGATAGCATTAATCAATATATATAGTTAACATACCTTATGTACGCAAAGCATGTTCTTCGGTATTTTAATGGAATTATACAAAAATAATAAACAACGTTTTATATATAGATACCATTAAATTTCTGAAAGATATGCATGGGCTAATATGTCTGACGAGAGGTATTAAGACACATCCCGAAGGCTTTTAGCAGTTAAAAACTTGAAATTCGCTATTTTAAAATAAACTTTTGTGAAAAATATGATTTTTTTTAGTCTTTACACAGATACCGTTCTTTTGTCATTCAAAAAGTTAAAAAAAAATCATTAATGTTTCCCATATCACACACAGAGATAGGGTTGAAAAGCTTTTTGATAAAGTATGTACCTACTGTATCCATATAACGAGCTTCATCACTCTCATCAAATTTAAATTAAAGTTACCATGTCCCAAATCAAACTGCTTATCTCTGCTTAGTCTAATCAAAATATTTTCACACTCAAATCACATATCTCTGCTTATTTTAAGCAAAAAATGTTCATGATCAAATGGCGTCAAAGCATTTACCTACTGCCCACCAGCACCAAGTTTGAATATTCTACCTTCATCATGGGGGTGAATATGTTGCAATCCCAATTTTTGCACCATATCCTCCCGGATTTTAAATTTTATCACTTTGCCAGTAACAGTTAATGGATAGTGGTCAACAAATTCAACATATTTTGGAACATTGAATCTAGCCAGCTGAAATAAAAAAAAATGCAAATGTATAAAAGTAAAGGAAAACTAATTAAAATTGATACAAAGTCGTAAGAGGTTTTTAATTTTATTGCCAGCTCTTACCACACATTTTCCCATCTGTAACCGATCTCAAGATTGTCAAGATTTAATTGCCATTTTTCAATCTATCATAGGACATTCAACAAAACCTGATGTCAGAAACACAACTGTAGACATAAGTATAAGGGCCATTGCAAAAATTAATACAGTACCTGTTGCCGACAAAACTGAATAATTTCATCAGCGGTTGAAGTAACTCCTGATTTTAATTCTATACAAGCACAAATTTCCTCTCCTAGTCGTTTATCAGGTACACCAACCACCTGTATAATAGACGTTAATAAATATTTTTTGATAAAACAGAAATAACCAAGACAATAAACCGGTGACAAAACTTTTAAGCAACGTGAACTGCAGTCCATTGAGAATTCTAAATGCAGAAATAGTAAAAAATACCTTGCACAACACCCATAACTATTTGTGCGGTCCTTGCTGTTATAGTTAGCAGATTAACAGATCTTTGGATCTTGTCAGTGGTTTTCTTGGAGCTCCATTTTTTAATCCTGCAATATGCTGTCCAATCATGAAGGTCTGCATATCTCCCTGCTGCCCCCGGATAGTTATATTAGACAGTTTGTACTTGAATGATTAATAAGTCTAAACTATTTGAAGAAGATTTATCCCACAAGTCACTGGTCCATACATGAAATTGAATACAACCAAAATAAATTAATATCTAACTAAAGAGATAACCTGGTTTAAATACAAATATACTCACTTGAACATCTTTAACTTTAGGATGTTGATAAAGAATTTGTTCTATTTCTGTAGGGTAGACATTTTCACCACCTCTTATAATCACATCTTTAATTCTACCCACTATTTTACAATAACCTTCGTCATCTATTACTGCTATATCTCTACAAATATTATATACATGTCAATTATGTTAGACCAATCAATCATTTATTTGTTAATTTAAATTAGCAGTATTAGCATTACTTGCCGGATTCGTTATTTCACGATAATAAAAAACATATGAAATATACGGTTAACTAAGGTACTAGAAATCAGTTGAATCTCCCATAAACAATTGCCTTATAATGTCACGTGTCAAATTCGCTATGTCATGCTTGATTTTTGGCACCACCATGGACCTTGTATTATAAGGTCCATGGCACCACTTAACTTGGGTATGTTGTTATTACAAGCTCGAATCAGAGCGTCTGCTTGCTCTTACCCCCACCCTTCTAATGTTAATATTATTGTGTACTTGGGGTTGGATGGCCGCATCTTTAGCACGTGCGCGCTGTATCATAAGGTCTGTCATTGAGTTAACTGGCGTGGTTTTGATTCCCCGGTTGTACATGACAGGGAGTAGGGTCGCCTGTCCAAACTCGTTGGTTTTCTCCGGGTCTCCGGGCTTCCTCCCACTGTTAAAGACCCCTACGCACAAGCTAATTATTGAAATAAAATTGAACCATGAGTTAGTCCCGAAATGACCTATATAGTTTGTGTCAAGTAGACGTTAAACCCCATTCCTCCCTCTTTATTGTGTACTTACTGAGTAGTTCTAAATGATAAGACTAGCTCAATCTTTCGTCATAGGTCACGAGATGTAAACAGGGCTAGTGCTAATCCCAATCCTAACCCTGGACCTAGCCCCAACGCTTACCCTAACCTACAATCTCGCACTAATCTTATTAACATCTCAACGACCTTGACAAAAAGTGAGCTGGCCTTAACAATTAGATTTAGCCGTATTTTTAGCATTGTATTAAGAGGAAATAATTCGCATGACACTTTTAATAATACAACCAAGGAATATTATCATTGGCGGCTCCAGCCTCCGATGGTAGGAGGGGCAAAGCTGAGTTAGGGGGGGGGGGGGGGGGGGTCTTTCCCAGAAGTTTTTGAAAAAATGTCTGCTGGAAATGCAGCCTGGTAGTATTTCAGGCACTGATCGTCGAGATAAATAGATCTGACGAGATACCGCTTGTCGCCTGACCACTAGTTTATCCGACCAGAGTGGAAAGTGTCAAACGAAGCCCCCTCATGAGCGCCAATTAGTGGGCCCCTACTAAGGGTATGGGGGACCTCTCTCAGAAATTATTTTAAAAACAGACAGCCGGAAATGCAGTCTGACAGTTTTCAGACACCGACTGTACAGATAAATATAGCGCTGACCAGATACCGCCTGTCGTCTGCCTGCTCACTCGTTTATCCGACTAGAGAGGTAAGTGTCAAACGAACCTCAACGAAGCCCTCGAAATGCAGTCTGTCAGTCAAGATAAATAGAGATTTTCAGATACCGCCTGACGACAAATTACTAGTTTATCCGACCAGAGAGGAAAGTATCAAACGAACGGATTGAGTGAATCAAGGTGAATGAATATTTTCGAAACGATATTTTGAGAAATAGATTTCCGGAAATACAGCTTGGCAGTATTTCAGACACTGGTCGTCGAGATAAATAGAGCTTACCAGATACTGTCTGTCGCCAAATCGCTAGCTTATCCGAACAGAGAGGGTGGGGGTGTCAAACGAACGGAGTTAGGGAATCAAAGTGAATGAATAGTCAGGCGAGCTTATGTTGCCCTCCCAATGCGTTTAGTGCAACTGGGTGCAACTGAATGAAATAGGTGAATAGGTGATATATATATATATAAGCGGTCTTGCAATCTCATTCGACAGTGGAAAAAAAACAATTGCTGTTAGTAGCATATGTTCTACTTTCCTGCGACTGGTTGCAAGGACATAAGCAGTTTTCCAACTGAATACAACTAATTTGAAAGGAATGTTCAGGCATTCATTGTATTTCGTAGGTTTCCCAGGCTCTCCATTATGCCGACGACATTGTCGAAGAGTGTTTGGGCAACACAAGTATATTTATATTCAAAGAAAGGGTAACACCAGCCTTTTTTAAGATGTTTTCTTAACCTTAGACAGCCCTCAAACATGCCAGTGACAAGTGGCTGCATGTACTAGCAACTAAACGTCACAGGCGACATAAGCGGCTGGCATTTCCAGTTGTACACAATCGGCTCACATCGCAAGGTCAATATATGCATGTTTTTTACCCTGTATGAAACCAGCGAGATGGAGAAATAACTTCAGCTGTTTTATCAGGATCTTCCCAATAACATAACATTGTTGTATAACCTCTAGTACATAGTTCACCAGATACACCTGTTCTAACAATATCACCATTTTCATTGATAACTTTAGCCTATAATAAAACAAAATAGGACACTATAAAACTGAGCCACATTTAATTCTATGTTTTTGCCTGTAAGACTTCAGATCAATATTTTCACATTTTGTCTGTTAAAGGCCCGTGTCAAGGTTACTCGTTAGTGAATATTAAGGTACTTGATTTAGCTATCTAAATTAATAATCCTCTGATTAAAATTTGATTACAATTCGATTTATTTATGTTTTTATATTTTTACACCACACTGTAACCTAACCAACTTTCTGCCAGAAAGAGTAACATATATAAATAATTGTACCATCTTCCAAATGTTTATAACTCCTAAGGATCACGATTATATATGCCTTATCATAGTTCACCACAATATACAGCACCAAAATGTGCGATCTGAATGCTGACTTAAAAAATATATGATGCTACGATGTTCGAATAATATCATTGTTTTGTCTAATTACCTCAACATGACTGCCAGGTAATCCAACAGTTGATAATCTCTTCTCTATTGGACTATCTCGATAAGCAACAAAAGTCACGGGACTTGTTTCAGTTAAACCATAGCCAGCCTAAAATTAAATATGGTCATAAATGTCATGGTGTAGGATTCGATTTAAATTTGGATAGCGTAAATGGAAACAGAGCTTTTAGATTTTATAAATGTCACTGTTTTAAAAATATCTGAGACCCAATATTACCTTTGGAAAATGAGGTTCTTCGGATAACCAATCATGATGCTAGAAATGCCACATAACAATAACATGGTACATACATATGAATTTGGGAATAAGAGGGGAGCTAGTCTAACTTTTGATTTTTTACTATCTCTTAAACATACATTATGCAAGAGCTAAATCTGTCTATTGCAGGTCTTTCTTTAGGCCTGAAATGTTATCTAAATTATTAATTAGACATTAATTAACCTATCCAGACCTTAATCAACGCTAGATGGCATCGCTAGCCAGCGATCTTTAGTGGATTATGAGCTGATGTACTGCATAACCTTCTTCACGATTTAACGATTAAATGGATAATCGAAACTATGCTGTTTATCGTACTGACTTTAGTAATGACGATCGAGACTAGGCGGAAATTTCAATCGCTTAGTTCTGGGTTCATAGTGGATCAATTTGAATGAAATTTTCAACAAACTGCCTTTACATTATCTAGTTTTTAACTATTATAGTGAGAACTGCCAACTCGTTATCGAATCTCCCATAATGTATCTTTAATATATTTAATATTACATTTTGTTAAGAATTAAATGACTTTATACGTCATTAATTTAAGCATTATTTAAAGCCAATTTTTTATATTTTAGGGATGACAATATGATGATGATAATTGGGGTTAACGTCTGCTCCACCACCTATGGTGATATCATCATTGGCCGTACAGTACTCACAATGACCTCTGTCATATTCATCTTTGTGATGACATCTTTCATGACCTCTATAGGGCAAGGAGAACCACCCATTAAACCAGTATATAAGGTAGATAAGTTATAGTTGTTCAAGTCAGGATGATTCAGCATATCTATAAACATAGTAGGCACTCCATATAATGATGTACATCTACAATAAATAACAAGATAAGATATATAATATATAACACGACCATTACATATCTATAAACATAGTGGGCCCTCCATATAATTATGTATATCTAAAATAAAAAACAAGATACACTCTTGTTCAAATAATTGCATATCATTGAAATATCATTCGGTAAAGTCTCAGCGTGAAATCACAGGGATTTTGCTTGAACACCTATCAAACGTATGATGGATTATCAAGCGAGACAAGGCAAGGGGTAAGTCAAGCCCCCAACAGAATGGAAGGTATGAACGTAAGAGAAAAACGTCTTGCATGAGTCGTTGGTAAGTTGGTGGGGAATTAGTAAGTCCGTGGGGAATTAGTAAGTCCAAATGGAATTATAAGTCTTTGGTACTCAAAAGTACTCAAAAGTACTTCAGCATATTGATTAATCAACTCTTTTGAATCAGAATAATCGTATGTACATTGCTGATGACATTTAAATTAATTCCTGAACTAAAATTCAGTGAAAAACATGGGTGGTGCAATTAATTCAGTTGCAGTTAATACTCCAACCACATTACTAAAATCCTTTTTTCAACCAGATATTTTTGACGGCAACTAAATATCTATAAAAATACGTTGCCAGAAAACAAAAAATACCTCCACAGACCCCAGTAGTCCATAAACGTTTTCACATATTCTTTTGTGGGTAATGGGAGCAATTCAAAATCGTTAAACACTGACCAAAAGTATTGAAAATAGTTAACATTTGATTGGCTTGTATTTCTTCTGAATGCTAACAGTTCTTATACAAGAGCTTTGACTGTAAATTGTGTGGAGGCAGGTAACAACAATATATGTCCATATTAAACGTTGGTGTATAAACAATGTTACATCTACTGTATTGAAGGTGTCGGGTAATTCTTAGACTAAACCAACGAAATGATTTATGGTTCTCATTTTATAGTAATTCATGTCAACGTGTTTATCATACTTTTCATCTTGTACAGCTTGTAGAGTTAATTCTGGTTTAAAACTGTCCGAAGGAAAAACAACACAAGCGCCATGCATACATAGTGATAAACTGCCTATTACCATGCCAAAACAATGATATAGTGGAACAGGACAACATATTCGGGATTCCTTAAAAATAAAAAATAAAGTTATGCTGTCTATTCTTATATCTTGACAGGAATTTAAGTTTTGTGAAGAAATTAATACCAGGTAATCCCTGTTTCCTGACAAAATATTAATGATGAATAAATTCTTAAGGGATATAGATGCACAAGTTTTGAAAGAGACAAAGATAAAGAAGTTAGCCATCTTGCCAACCGAGAAACAAACATATATATTTGCGTTGGTTCAATTTCCAGCAACACAGCAATAGCAAACTATATTGAAATTAAAGAAATCTTTGTAAAATTTACATTTTTTCATAAGCTGATATAATATACATACATATAATAAATACACGTACTAGAAAATTAATAAATCTCACTCAAAGTCAAATCAACACTTTTAGATCTATCTTCTTTAAGATATTGAGTAAATACACCGTTATGTAATAATACTTACCCTTTGATGATAATCTAATCTTACACCTACAGTATGAGAATTATTGGTAATATTATGATGAGAAAGTGTTACCCCTTTTGGTGAACCAGTAGTTCCCTGAAATAAACCATTCAAAACTCTATTTTCATAATTTTAATGTTATATTTTGCAAAAATAAATTTACTGCACAATCTGTGCCTATATACAGTAATTCTTCTAGTCTATGGATAATTGGGTTTTTTTGTATTTTGTGCCAAAGACTAGAGTAGAAATAAGATGATTGCCAGATTTTCCCACCATTGTTAACATCCTCCATATACTACCTAACGATGTGATCTAACATTTCATGAAATTAATAAGATTTGTAACATTTTCCATGATATTCGAAATTAAAAACACGAATTAGAATTCAATATCGATCAACTTCAATTAATATTGAGGTTGTTATCTTGACGTGAAAATATAGGATCCTAAAATCCAATATTTAAGACACAATTAACATTTTATAATCAATACACGAGCCATGTACCCTATGGTTTCGGGTACCATTTTGTAATGAACAAATAAAAACATATCCTACAACACAATGTGGAAGTAATTAGTAGAGGCTGATTCACAAACGACAAAATAATAATTTAAAAAACGTGTAGAATGCACTAAGCAGGTGTAAACGACTGTCGTTCAATTTGAACTGTTCACGTATTTCACCGAACATAATTGATTAGGAATTACTATATTCTTTTCAAAAATTGAATATAAATCACTTTACATACATTCATATTACATTAATATGTCCTTTTTGAACCATTTTTTTTTTTGTCTATTTCAGGTTCCAAAAATAGAGCTATACGCCCTTTAAGAGACCCTATTATAATGTTTTTACAATTTAGATCAGTCTGGGTGGTAAAACCCACCACTTACAGCCGTACAATCATATGGTTAAGTGGGATATGAAAACAAAACAAAGTCATCATACATTATAAATTGCATTTTTATTATTCATTTTCAGCTTTTAAATGGATAAGAATGCTTACTGATGTAAACTGAATGCTGATTGGGTCATCAAATTGAAGTTTATTCTGTAGATCTAGAATATAATCTCTTTCTTTATTTCCACCAGCTTCACTGATTTCACTAAACCTCAACGCCCCTCTTAAATATATATAATTAAAATAGATAGTCAATCAGCACATTCATTCCTTTCATGCTCTCATATTAATCTCATTTGTTGACTTCATGGTCTCTTTAATATCATTTTAATAAGTCATGCTCTCTCATTCATTTATCATGCTCTCTTGTTCATTATTCAGTAATTTCTTGCTATCATTAATATAGTTCATTAATTTCTCTCATTAATATAGTTCACCAATTTCATACCATATACATGTATTATTTTCTGCCAATAAAATAAAAATATCTTTTGGTATATTTGTTTGTGATATTTATTACATTTTAATTACAAAATAATTACATAGTATCATGGACCTTATGATACAAGGTCCATGGTAATATACATACATGTAATACAATAATTACATTTTTTTCTGTTTTTACATCAACCTGACTATTTATCCTAAATTGTTCTCGGCAATTGTCTTTTGACATACTAAACACATCTTCTTCGGTTATTATTGAACGTTGAATATAGTCCTGTTTGAGTTTTTCTTTTACGAGCCATGGCATGATATGAGTTGATATGACTCCACGAAAAACCAGCGGCTGCCAGGCAGGATACGCCCACATTTTCGAGAGATAAATAGAGAACAAAGCTAAAAAGAAAGAGATTTTTCCTACAATCAAGGGCCATAATTCAGGAAATTACAATTCGATATGCGCGAATATCGAAAGGAACCAAGATCTTTGGGTTATAAACTTACATTTCAAGTTTCAACAAAATCGGATTAAAATTGTGACCTCTATAGGGTCCACAACCTTGATATACCATATTTTTACGCTATTTGAGAACGAAGGGCGGCCATTTTGTCTGTCAGTTTTGGGCCGATTTTCACGAAATTCGAACTCAGCCGTCCTTAGGGTGTAACGGTGATCTAATGATAGTTTTTTTTAAATCGGATAAACATTATGACCTCTGTAGGGTCCACAAGCTAACAACGCGATTTTTCGTACAATCAGAGACCATAATTCAGGAAGGTACAAGCCGATATGCGCGAATTTCGAAAGCAACCGAGATTTTTGGGTTATAAACTTACATTTCAAGTTTCAACAAAATCAGATAAAAATTGTGACCTCTATAGGGTCCAAAACCTTGATATACCATATTTTTACGCTATTTGAGAACGAACGGCGGCCATTTTGTCTGTCAATTTTGGGCCGATTGTCACGAAATTCGAACTCAGTCGTGCTTAGGGTGTAACGGTGATATAATAATACGGTTTTTAAAATCGGATAAAAATTATGACCTCTATAGGGTCCACAAGCTAAAAACACGATTTTTCGTACAACCAGGGCCATAATGCAGGAAGTTACCGTCCGATATGCGCAAATATCGAAAGGAACCAAGATCTTTGGGTTATAAACTTACATTTCAAGTTTCAACAAAATCGGATTAAAATTGTGACCTCCATAGGGTCCACAACCTTGATATACCATATTTTTACGCTATTTGAGAACGAAGAGCGGCCATTTTGTCTGTCAGTTTTGGGCCAATTTTCATGAAATTTGAACTCAGTCGTCCTTAGGGTGTAACGGTGATATAATAAAACGGTTTTTAAAATCGGATAAAAATTATGACCTCTATAGGGTCCACAAGCTAAAAACGCGATTTTTCGTATAATCAGGGGCCATAATTCAGAAAGTTACGTTCTGATATGCGCGAATATCATAAGGAACCGAGATCTTTAGTTTATAAGCATACATTTCAAGTTTAAACCAAATCGGATAAAATTGTGACCTCTACAGTGTTCACAGGCCAAAACGTGATTTTTCGTACAATCAGGGGTCATAATCCATGCAGTTACAGTCCAATACATGCCAATATCGAAAGGAACCGAGATCTTAGGGTGATAAACCTATATTTCAAGTTTCATTGAAATCGGATAAAAATTGTGACCTGTAGACTGTTCACAAACAATTGTGGACGGACGGACGGACGGACAGGGGCGACGACAATATACGTCCACATAAAAATGTGGGCGTATAAAAATATATAAACTGTAACAAAAAATCTAAAATCACTCATTAATACCTTGCTCTCACTGATTCTATTCCCTCATTAATATTCATTAATATCATGCGCTTATTAACAGCAATAATATCCTTCATTAATTGGATGCTCTCATGAACAAAATTCTATACCATAATAGCATGCTTTCATTAATACCATACGCTTATTAATACTTTCATTAATATCTTGCTACCATTAATAAAATGCTCTCATTAATATCATTCTCACTATCATCGTGTTCTTATTAATATTATCCTCTCATTAATATCGTTCTCACCAATATCGTGTTCTCTTTAATACCATGTTATTGTTAGTATCATTCTCATTAATATCATGTTCTCTTTAATATCATTAATTAACACCATGTTCTCATTGATATCATGCTCTCATTATTTGATGCTGT